ATGGCAATGATTCTTGTGGTCAACCGTAGAAGTCCAAATCTGTGTACGGTACTTCAATGTGAGCATAAAAAGCACTACAGGTGTGTCATTCCCGACTCCCTTGGGAGGTTCCATTAGTCACATGACACCTTTAAGCTTGAATTGCTATGTGCTCGGGTGAGCGAGTGTTTTCAGTTTTTATATAGGAGAGAGTTTGAGAGAAGTTATTGTGTCTTTCTTTGGCTAAAAGTGAACGGTTCAGTGAGTTGATATTTGGTTTTTTGTTGTTCGGGAAGGTATTTGGAGCTTAATGCCTTCTTTTGTTTGTAATTTTCAGAAAACCTCTCACTTATATTCATTGACCAAGGCCGTGCGGTCAATGTACGAGTTTTCGATGTTCATTTAAATTTGCGAATAAACATTACTACGGTATTGACAAGGTGTTACAAGTGAAAGCTGTCAAGGATGCTAGACTGGCCTTTTTGTTACTCAGTCTGTAGATTTTTGCAGGCACTTTGAATCAAAAGTGTTATTTTCTTTTTATTATTTTTTTTTAGGGAAAAAAGCAGAACAGGAGATCAAACTTGTACAGTTGAAAAAACTGATTGAGTTTTTTATTGTTAGCGAGGTAAATTTGATATGACCTGATGATCACATTTGTTGATATTAAGAATAAAATTTAGATCATTTACCCAGTTAACTTTGGTAGATAAAGTTGCTTTGTGTAACTGAAAGCCATCCTTTTGGCAAAATTAAACTATTTATTTCTTTAAAATATCTGACACATTTCATGTTTTTCTAGGTCCACAACCACGCCGCATACCTTGTAGACAGTTTATGGGAAAGTATGGACTTGCTGAAGGTAAAAATAAATGCTGTTTGTATTAAGACTGCAAATGTCTGACCAGGTGAAAAAAAGGGTGTGATTAACTTAGACAATGCATTTGGATCATGTGATTTAAAAGGGGAGCCTTGGATTTTCCTCAGCATTTCTGTAAGGATACAGCTTCTCTTTGGGAACATGTACTATGTAACTTTGCTTTCAAGAAAATTTTTGAGAATTGGGTCTCTGAGAATTTTTTTGTCTCTGGGCCTCCAGTATGTTTTCTTAGACCACGGCTTTAGTGCAATCCAGCGTTTTTGCATGTAAAATAGGGAAGAATATGGAGTGTTACTCAATGAAGTGTCTGCTGTCTTGTGCATTTTAGGACTGGAAGTTGATGACTGATATTCTTTTGGATAAGAGTGACAAGCAAGGTAGGTTGCCATATCAACAAATCGTTGTTTACAATTTGGGTAAAACCTTTTAATATGCCTGAAGAGATCTCTTTTGAATATCCAGTACATGGGAACTGGTCAGCAGATGAAGTTATAACTATAATTTATGTACACTTACGTAAAGTGTAGTCTTAACAGTCAGCCGTTTTTGGTCAGGAATCAAGTTGTTATGATAAACTTCTGCTTCTCTAAAGATTGAGAGAAATTCAGCATGCAGTGAGCAATGAAATGAGTGATGATATAGTTCACTCCGATTTTGTAACCTCAGGTTTGAACGACAGTGAAGAAATGGCATTGATTGACATCATGGTCTGCGCCTGTAAACAAGCCTCCACCCGCCAGGGCCCTCCTGGAAGAGCAGTTCGTAAAGTGAAAGAAAACAAGTCTACTGTAAATGAAAAAAAGGACCTGAGTGCGCATTTTATGCAGACTCTACCAGGCTTGTTAAATAAGGTATGAAAAGGACTGCCCCTTTAATGTAAAACTACAGTACCAGCTGCAGGAGTATCGGTATTCCATGCGTGTTTCATGCGTGTAAATCCGCCATATTGCGCTCAATTTACACGCAAATTACGCGCACATCACGCACGACTAAAAAAAATGCACAAAAATGCGCGTAAAATTTTACACGCAGAGTGTCATGTAACAGAGGACAGAGTATTTGCTGTTGTACATCACTTACCGAGCGGCCTTTTCTCCCAGAATAAATGTTGCATGTCTAACAGCCCTACTAGTTTTCGAGGATTTTATACAATTTCAACTTTGCTTTTCAAAATTTTGGCGAAAAGTGTCTAGTTTGGTTGAATATTTCAAATATTTGGTTTGAATGACTGTTTTTGTTCGCATACTTGTAGTTTAGGTTGTCATTTGGAGCCGGCAGGCAGCTGAATCTTGATCATGCTTCTTGCTTTGTTTCAGTTTGGAACAGATATTGAAAACGTCACAAACCTAGTATCACTTCCCCAGTACTTTGACCTTGAGGAATATGGACAGCGGAGACTGGGAAAGGTTTGTAGATACTCCAGCCTGTATTCTGGGTCTTCTGTTTGTGAATAGTATTGTGACCTTTTTTTTTTTTCGTTATTTCCAGTATTTGAATGAACTTCTGAAACAACTCTCTGAAATTGTGGAGAAACACTCCAATGTGGATGTAAGTACTTTGTAAAATTGTGAAGAAAACCTACTGACAATGTGTGATATACATCGGTAACTTACACACTGAATTTCAGTCCATAAAGGTACAAAAAAAATCAACTTGGCTTATATCTGTACTTGACTCCCTCCCAGAGGTTTCAAAAACTTTTTCTTTAAGCGACTATCAATGATGTAATAACAGCTGGCTGTAAGATGAAACCCAAACACGAAAAAGTGCTCGCAGGCTTTAATCATTCAAATTCCTGCCTTCTTATCAAAAATGCTTCAATATTGTTTTCGTCTTGTGCAGGTTTTGGATGAATGTGGAAAGAGCTTTAGAACACTCACGGACAATGACTTCACTTTGGCCTCTTCAGCTGTAAGTCGATAGGTGCCCTGTTCTCAAGGATTTGTGTGTTACATTTGTGCAGTATCTTCTTCCATTTTGTATTGTCTATTAACATTTGGTTGTCTTTTAAGTTCCTCATACAGAAATAACTTAATCTTGATTTTCTTACCCACCAGGATGTGGCCAAAAGTAAGCTGATTGATTCATTTGTGGCAAAGTTTAAAGAAAATGTGAAGAGTGGCCTTGACGCAGTTAGTATTCTTCTTTTGTTTATTTATTTTTTTTTTTTTGCATAATCAGGGCTGGACACTAACGGTAGCCCACTAGCCACAGACTAGTAGAAATTCAGTTTTAGTTAGTGGTTTTCGATTTCCACTAGCCAGTTTGGCCAGTAAACAAACTGAAATTGTCGTAACATCTAAGCTGTAACTAGCCACTTGGCTCGTAAGTTGAAAAGTTAGTGTCGAGCCCTGATAATGTTATCCTGATTGAAATAGAAATCCATAAAATCCTTACTTTCCTAACATCTTATGACTTTCATATATTTAGTAGATAAAATAATTATTACACCTTATCACAACGGTAACTCTTAGAAATGATTAACATGAAATTCCTCCCAATTTCAAACATTTTTCCAGGGAGAGGTGATGAATTTAGATAAATTTGTGAATTAGCTTGGATACGTGTCTGTCATTCGATATTAGGGACCTTAAGCAGTCAGAACGGCAACGCCAAGGAAGACTTCGATTAAAAATTGAATTTCTACTCTTAGTTAGAATTTTAAAAATGGCTGCATGAGCTTACTGTCTCATACGACGCCACAGCTCAACTTCAGCATGACGTGTAAAAGCAGCTTTGAGTTCCAAATGGAAATTAAAATAATTTGCCGTCGCGGTTTCGGTTCGCAGACGACTCAAATTTTGGCGATTTCACGTTGTTGTTTTGCATAGGACGGCTAAGAAATGTACAAAGTTTCAAAACGTACGTGCTGAGCTATTGTTCTGCCAATGAGATCTCTTGTTTTTCCACGTCCTCGTTGCCGTCGCCGTNTGTTGGCGCGCTGTTATTGGCATGTGTTGGCGCGCTCTCATTGCTGTGTGTTGGCGCGCTGTCATTAATGTGTGTTGTCACAACTTGTTTCTTAGTTGCGTTTCATTGCTGCCTTTTCTGTTTTGTTGTAGGTGTTTTTCGTTATTTTGTCGTTGGAATTTACATCTTTTTTGTCCTAAAACCTATAATACTGTATTTAATTTTTGCATTAACAGATTTTTATAACCTAACAATAACTGTTAAACGCGGATTTTTTTTTGTGTTTTTGTTTTCGATCTAACAGATATTGGAGCTGACCTTCTCAAGCATGCAAATGTTACTCGTTTGGAGTCTTACGGAGATAGATATTAACGAACCGGATAAGGTTAGATTTTAGATATTCTTTTTTCTTTTATCTCAATCTTGTGACAGCAACAACCTAGGTTCAAGCGGGGTATTCTCCCCTCCCTTCTCCCATTCCTTCAAAACCGTCTCAACGAAACATTCCTACGTGTGTTTTCTTTCTCAGCATGAGATGCGCACCCTGAAAAAGAGAGTGAATCAGTTTATGTCACACTGCGATGAGCTCATACAGTTCAGTACAGATTCTGTTCAGAGAGTGGTAAGTCAAGAAATACCTGCTGTTCAATACAGTGAACCGATGAACTCTTTCGCTCTCGAGATCTCATTAGTAATTCTCCGTACTGTCTGTCATACAATTCTTATGATGTTACTTTGGAGAATTTGTTATCTGATCAACTAATAATTAACTAGTTGATATTTTTGTTTATTCTCTTCACTTGTCGTCTTGATATTGTTGTGGAGAAATTCTGTTTTGGTCACTCGCGGGAGTGAACTGATTAACAGCATGTTATATTGTATACTATTCTTATGATGTTACTTTGGAGAATTTGTTATCTGATCAACTAATAATTGCCTAGTTGATATTTTTGTTTGTTCTCTTCACTTGTCGTCTTGATATTGTTGTGGAGAAATTCTGTTTTGGTCACTCGCAGGAGTGAACTGATTAACAGCATGTCATAATGTATACTATTTTTTTTTTTTTTTATCAAATAAGTCGGTGATGACGTTTCGAACGCTAACCCTCCGTCATTGGCTCTTGCAAAAAGCTAACGCTCGAAACATCTGCTTTACAAACTCTTCACGGGGACCAATTTACATTACCAATTCAGGTTTTACAACCAAATTATCTTGTAGTGCACAGACATAGCACCACAGTTTCTTTAGAAACTTACCCCTTTCGTGATTTCTGATCTCCGATCCGTTGTTATTAAACCCATCTTCTCAAATATTTGATTTTATGGAAGAATTTATCTTAAAATGTTTTTTAACTTGTGTCTTTCTTTTTCGTCTTCAAGGCGTTTTGCTGTATCTGTGACTTGCTGATCATTTTTGCTAAGCAATTAAAGAACAGAGGTATTTTGTGACTGCTTTGATTGCATCACTTTGTTGCTGGTGCTATTTAGACAGACCCTGAACGTGTTTTTTTTTTTTTTTACGATCGCAATGCCATGTTCCAGCCCCCACTCTGGCGCCTTTGGTATACGAAGCTGATCACACCACCCAAGTGAGGCTTAGAGATTACGTCATCAGTCACGTGTTCATTGACTTGGACGAGGACGAAACAGAGGATGAAGATGGTTAGAAAACATGAGCATGTTATCATGGTTGAACCAAAACATGTTAAATGCTACGAGTCTTTAGGGCCACTTAGGGTTACTTATGAGTTTGAAAGTAGAAGGGAAATAAGAAATGGTAAGCTTCCAGGTTTTTGCGTCCGACGCTACGTCGTTTTGTTAGATTTACACGCACGACTAGAAACTTCAGTTTAAATGCACGAAGCGTTCCACAATGTATGCACAGTGCTTCGAGCAAATTCTTAACGTAGAATCGATTCACACATCTAAACCGATCATTGGTAATGTTGCATTCAATTTCTCTGAAAAAAAGGGGAATGCTGCCGTACAATTTTTTCGATGGTCTTTTAATAAATGTACAGTTTACTATCAACAATCACAGCAAAATCAGATAAAATAGCAGACTAGCTGGCGATTTTGGCCGGCTAACAGCTTTTATTGAGGGCTCTGCACCCACTCTGTTGCAGCTTATCCCAGGTTTCCGTGACGCGTTTTTTCTCACATCCTTTTTTTTTTTTTTTGATAGAGGACCAGACAGACAGCAGTGCTTTGGAGTTGAGCAAAAAACGGACAGTTCTGGCAGGATTCTGTAAACTCGTCGCATATAATGTGATTGATATGAAGCTGGTTTCTCCGATTTTCGCATTCCTTATCAGGGTATGAAAACGTGCATAGCATATAATATCATTGGAGGAACACATTTCTCCGTAAGACGATCCGTACGCTTAAAATCTTTCCCTTAAAATGACCAGGCTTAAAATTTACCATCTTTGTTTTCGTAATCACTGCGCAAAAGCGACACACATCGACATGTTATTCTAGCCATATGCAGGAGGTTTGTCACCATGAGTCTAGTTAACGGGCCTAACTTACCACGAGTCTCACTGGAAGGTCTAAGGTTTGACTCCTATTTGGAGCACATATGATGCACGATCCTCGCAGTAGAGAGCGCTATTTATGCAATAGCGAAAATCAGACCTAAAAAAAAAAA